CCAGAAAGACAAAGAGAGACATAGAGACAGAAAGCGAGAAATCACCCCCCAGGGGGGATGGTCACGCTGCAATCCCTTCTCCTCCATTCTCCTCTCGGGTTCTTGGGCACGCATGCACGCACGCGCGCCCGGCATGAGTTCAAGCCACCAGGTCCAAGACTCGAACCATGGTCGACTACATGGGGGTCCAGCAACATAGTCGTTATGCCAACTGCTAGTTCCCAGATATGCTTATTTCTAAGCTCGAATATATTTAATTTTACCCTGAAAATTAAGATGGGTGATTGGCCTTTCAGGTTTGCCCGAAAAGGTTCTTGGGCCCTTAAGGTTATAGTTCACATTTCCTGGGGAAAGAAAAATGAAGAAAGGAAAAGGGAGAAGGGAGGGAAGAAGAAAAGAAGGGAGGAGGGGAGGGAAGGACAGACTTCGACATTTTGCTAAAATACAGTTTAAGTGATTTTTTGGTTTTGTTTTAGTTTTGCTATAGGGTGTGTGTGCTTGCTGGCGAGACACAGAGGGAGAGTGAGAAATCATCCCTGGGGGGGGATGGCCACACCATAATCCCTTCTCCTCTGTTCTCCTCTTGGGATTTTGGGCATGTACACACACATGCCTGGTGTGTTTTTCAACTTCTGGATCTAGGACTAGAACTGGGCAGTTGGCCACATGGGATCCAGTCACCTTAACTACCATGCAACCTGGCTGTCCCAAGGGAAATGTTTTTACGATAGCTCCTCTACTTATCGCTATCAGCTACCCATTTTTACATATTAGTTTTAGCTATAGGGCACGTGTACTTGCCAGAGACCAAGAGAGAGACAGAGAGAAAAGGAGAACTCACTCCCTGGGGGATGGTCACGCTGCAACCCCTCCTGCTCCACCCTCTTCTCAGGATTTTGGGTATGAACACACACGCACCCAGCATGATTTTTCAATTCGCCAGGTCTGGGACTTGAACCAGGGGGTTGGCCATGTGGGATCTAGTGCCTTAACCTCCACATTGCCTGTTAGTCCCATATATAAAAATATAAATATATATTATACATAGAGAAATACATACATTTTTATATTTTATATCCTCCAAACATGAAATATATTTATATATACATGTTTTTAATATATATTTTATATTTTTAAATTATTTATTTTTAATTTGCCAGAAGGCATGTATATTCTCCAGAGAGAGAAACAGAGAGAAAAGGAGAGAGTACCCCCAATGGAACATGGTCAGACTGCATTCCCATCTCCTTCATTTTTCCATCCCGTTCGGATTTTAGGCATGCACACACATGTACGTGGTGTGTTTTCAAGTTGCCGGAGCTGGGATCTGAACTGCTCTTATTTATTTTTAATTTGCCAGAAGGCATGTATATTCTCCAGAGAGAGAAACAGAGAGAAAAGGAGAGAGTACCCCCAATGGAACATGGTCAGACTGCATTCCCATCTCCTTCATTTTTCCATCCCGTTCGGATTTTAGGCATGCACACACATGTACGTGGTGTGTTTTCAAGTTGCCGGAGCTGGGATCTGAACTGCTCAGTTGACCATGTGGAATACAAGTCTCTTAACCCCGTTGTATTGGGGCTGGCCCCTTGTGTGTGTGGGTGTTTTAGCTGTGGTAAGATACACATAACATTTACCATCTCAGCCCTATGTAAGTGGCATTATGGACTGGGTCATTGGAAAACTCATGATATCTTTTTTTTTTCTATGTAAAAATGCATCATGACTTCTCCGATGGCCAGTACATTCCTGTTACTACACAACCATCCCCAATATCCATCTCCAGAACTTTCTATCTTCCCAAGGTGAAACTCTGACCCCACTGAACAAAAACTTCTGGGACCAGCGGACGGCGTAGCGGTTATGTCGCTGGACTCCCATGCGGCTGTGATTCGAGTTCTCGATCTGGTGGCTTGAAAATTATGTTCGTGCATGTGTGTTCATGTCCAAGATTCCAGGAAGAGAAGGGAGGAGAAGGGATTGTGGTTGTGGCCATCCCCCCTGGGTGGGGGTGATTTCTCACTCTCTCTCTCACTGTCTCTGTCTCTCTCTCTGGCAAGTGCATGAGCCCTAAGGCAAAAACCTCTAAAAAAACAAAACCAACTTCCTTCCTGCCCACTCTTCCCAGTCCCTAGCAGTCCCTATTCTACTTCCTTACCTCTCTGAGTTCACTATTCTAGAGGAGGGCCATGTGCAATCCTTTTTCCTCCATTCTCCTCTCAGGATTTTGGCCACGCACGCACATGCGCTCGGCGTGAGTTTTCGGC